ATGTATATATGTATGTATGTATGTATGTATGTATATATATTCATATAAGAAACAGGCGTCGGCGACCCATTGCTGCTCCGTCCTAACAGATCCAAGGGCCGCAGGGGGCTGGAATGCGGTGAGCTCGACTGGCGGGGGATGAGTGGACTGCGACCATTCGAAAGCGCGCGAAGGTCGAGCCCCCCCCCTCTGTCTCGCCCGCGCCCCCCCCCCCCCCATGCTCCTATGGAAAGCGTCGCCCCGACGAGCGGGCAATGCGTGGCCCGCTCGTCGGCGCGACGCTTTCCATGGGCGACGATTCAGAAGAAGAAGCGGAATCATATGAGTTTCAATCGCCCTGCCAGGCTCGAGCTGCTTCTGTCGTCGAGCAGGGGCGCCCTGAGCTCGGCGCCTCGACTGCCCCGGCCATCGCAGCGCTAGTGGATGAGAAATCTCCGCTGTTCCACTTGGCCAACGTGGGTTTCAAGCCGGGCGCTGCGATCGGGAGCGAGAAGACGCCAGCCGACGGCAAGGTCAAACTGTTCATGCTCGTGGCGATTGACATCGAGCTGGCGACGTTGCAGCCAACTGGCGTCGAGGGGGCCCTGCCTTACTTCGCCGTGCCCCTGGCGCACCGCAAGGAGAGTTGGTCGGCCGCTTCCATGAAGCCGCAATCGCCCATGGACTTCTTGCCGTGGGTGCCTGGGGGGACTCTGCAGTGGAACGCCGGCTTTGCGAAGTCGCGCGCGACGATGGCGCCGCCCACCCTGTCGGGCAAAGTCGCTGAGGAGAAGTCGCTCGAGTCGTTGCAGCTGTTCGTGAATCCGAATGCAGCCAGGGCGACGAATAAGTTCAGCGCGGGGAACCTCGCGCTGGCCCCATGCACCCGCGCAATCAAAGATCGCGCCGCTGACGAGCCGTGCCCTGGGACGCATGTAGATTGGGGCGCACTCATCAAGGGGCCCGCCAAGGTGAGCTTCAGCTTGGCGCCGCTCGCAATCCACAGCAAGCCCGCGGGCAACTTCGCGACGCCATTTTGGTTCGCGGCGACCACTGTTGACGGCGAGGCCGCAAACGTGAGGATCGGCGAGGAGAAGTCTGACATCTCCGCGATGATTGACTGCCAGCTGGCGGCGCACGTCAATATGACAATGCCAGTGATGCGCAACAGCGTCGCGCCCCAACCAGGCGACATGCTGCCCAATTCGGGCGGTGCCGCCGTCCAGTTCCAGAAGAGGGCCACGCTGGGCAGGTCGTGGGCGATGTTGGCTCGCAGGCGCGCCTCTCAATATTAGTTTATATTTTCGGTGCCAGCGCTTTGCGAGCCAGAGGCGGGCCCTGCCTGAGCTCTCGAGCCAACCGTGGGAGGAGGGGGGGGGGATGCATATGGGGAGGGGCTGAGGGGGAATATGATCAATGTGAGGAGGGCCGTGCGGGTCATCGGCAACCTGTAACTGTCGTCATTCTTGGGCTATCCAGGCTCGATTTCGCAGGAAATATCAAGCGGGAGCTTCGTCTGTGAGTGAATTGTGAAGAAGTTTCAGGCGCGAGCCCCCTCCCTATGGGTCCCGTAATTCATGTTGGTAGTCCGAGCGGGTCATCGTCAATTTTGGTTTGAGTTTGGAGGAAGTATCAAGCGGGAGCTTCGTCTGTGAGTGAGTTGTGAGGAAGTCTCAGGCGGGGGCCCCCTCCCTATGGGTCCCGCATCTCATGTCGGCAATCTGAGCGGGTCCGTCACATTTGGGGCTCGCAGGTTTGAATTTGGAGGAAGTTTCAAGCGGGAGCCTTCTTTGTGAAAGAATTGTAATGAAGTTTCAGGCGGGGGGCGTTTCGCATGGGTCCCGCAGCTCATGTTGGTAATCCGAGCGGGTCATCGGCAACCTGCAACTGTCTTCATTTTTGGGTTCCTCCGGCTTGAGTTTGGAGGAAGTATCAAGCGGGAGTTTCGTCTGTGAGTGAATTGTGAGGAAGTTTCAAGCGGGGGCCCCCTCCTCTGGGTCCCGTAACTCATGTTGGCAATCCGACCGGGCCGTCGGAAGTTTGTAACTGTTTGTATTTTTTTCATGCCAGAATTCGGAAGACGTGTCGAGCGGGGGCTTCGTCTGTGAGTGAATTTTGAGGAAGTCTCAGGCGGGGGGGCCCTCCCCGTGGGTCCCGCAGCTTATGTTGGCAATCCGAGCGGGTCATCGGCAACCTGTAACCGTCGCCACTTTTTGGGGTTCTCAGGCTTGAATTTGAAGGAAGTATCAAGCGGGAGCCTCGTCTGTGAGTGAATTATAAGGAAGTCTCAGGCGCCCCCCCCCCCATGGGTCCCGCGTATCACGTTGGTAATCCGAGCGGGTCATCGGCAACCTGTAACTGTCGTCACTCTTGGGCTCTCCAGGCTCGAGTTTGCAGGAAGTATCAAGCGGGAGCTTCGTCCGTGGGTGAATTGCGAGGAAGTCTCGGGCGCCCCCACCCCCGTGCCCTATGGGCCCCGCATTTCATGTTGGTAGTCCGAGCGGGCCACTGGCAACCTGTAGTTACTCCGACGGAAGGGCCCCGCATGATAATCTGTTTAGTTTGCCCTTGCCCTTCTCCTCCTCGCCCTGAGGGGCGCCCTCCTCTCGCCCGTCGTTTTTTCCTTCACCTACCCCATCGCTCCATTTATTTATCGTCCGCCTCCTCCTTCTCCACTTCCTCCTCATCGTCGCCCCCCCCCTTCCCATTCCCCGCCCTCGCCCCCCCCCATCCCCGGTCGGGGCAGGCGGGTTCGACGAGAGAGCGGAAACATCCAGGGGCGAGGCCGAAGAGGGCGCCGCAGGGCTTGGGTTCACGTTGCCTCCCGCCTGAACGCGGCTGCGCCCCGCTCGAAGCCCGCGGGGTTGCCCCGGCGTCTTGGCCCGCGGGGCTGCCCCGACCGCCTGCCCCCGCGCCCCAGCGGCCCGCGGGGCTGCCCAAAGCCTTCGCGAACCAGCCGTCAGGGAACGCGCGCGCTCTGGCCGCGGCGGCGACGGCGCCGAGGAACATCGATTTGCTTGCCCCGGCCAGAGGGGGAGGGGGGGGCGCGCGGAGAAGAAGCAAGGGAAGGGCGAGGGCGGGGGCAATGATGAGGAGGGGGGGGAGGTGGAAAAGGAGGATGAGGATGTATAGAAGGAGGGGGAGTAGGCGTGGGCAGGGCGGCGGGCGAGAGGAGGGCGCCCCTCAGGGCGAGGGGGAGAAGGGCAAGGGCAAACTATGCATATTATCATGCGGGGCCCCTCCGTCGGAGCAATTCTTTTCGCGCGGTGCATCGCGCTTGCGTGCGCGGCGCGAGCCAGCTGCAGGCGGGCGCGCCGATTGATTCCAACGAAACGCATGGGGGGGGCCCAGAAAGGGCCAACGCAAACAGCGTTTTGTTTGCCGTTCGCAGGGCCCTTCGCCCTCAGCCCGCGCCCTCTCCCTCGCTGCCCCCCCTCTCGTTTTCGCCCGCCCCTTCTCCGAACCACAAAGAGCCAAGCGTCGCGCGCGATGTGGCAGACGCCAGGGGGGGCGCCAGCAAGGAGCGCAAGGCGCAAAAAGAAGCGCCAGACAAACGATGAAGTATTCAGGGGCTGCCGCGCTCGTGCGAGCTCATGCCGCGCCGCGCTAGCTATGTCGCGCGCGCTAGGATGCCCCACGCACACCACATTGAACAACGCGTGTCGCTCAACGAGCCACGCGCAAGAATTTGCCCGAGAGGTCCCGCCACAGGTGCCCGACCAACCAGGTGCGAGAGGGGCCCGATAAGGCCCGGAGGTCCCCATGCGGCCCAATAAGGTGCCCGACTAACCAGGTGCGAGCGGCTCCCAATAAAGCCCAATATGGCGCCATCAAGGTGCATCTCTCACGGCGGCTCGGAAAACAGGCCAGGGCGATTGCTGCGTTGAATTGTTTTGGGCCGGTCAGCCGCGGCAGGGCCACTGCAACCCTCCCCTGCCGCAACCGCCAATGTCAACTTGTCGCCGCCGTGCCGGCCCAGCTCATCGTCGCCGCGCCATCGCAGCCGCGACCGTGCCAGTGCAGCAGAGTTTCGCTGCGATGCCGTGCCAACTCATTCATTCATTCGTCAACGTGGTCATTGCCGTTGTGGCTCCAGTGCAACACTTGTAACGTGGTGCCAACTCCCCGTGCACTGCTACCGCGCGTTTTCTTGATGAAGTCGAGCGCAATCCCATTCGATCGCGCAGTCAATCTTTCTGCAGCAGAGAAAACGGGTCACCCGTGGTTCGGCGCGCCAAGGGTGAACGTTGCAGGCGTCGATTTCGTTGAGCTCTGCAAGTCAGACCAAGGGTTCAACAAATGGTCGTCTGGCTACCGTGTGCATTCGAAGCACAACGCAGCCGCCGTCCAATAAGCATCGGACTTTCAACTTGCAGCGCCGTTGAATGGGTTTGGCGAGGACCCCGGCATCGAGTCCAAGCGCGGGAAAGTTACGGCCTACAGGGCCATGGTGCAGACCAGGGCAATGAAAGAGCTCCGCGAAGGGCCCATGACTGCCACCGTGGACATTACCTTGCCGCCTTTCAAGGTTGGCGGCGCGCCCGCTGCAGATGTTACTACCCAGGTGCCTCTCAACATCTCGTCCAAACAAATGCAGTGATCCCGTTCAAGAGTGAGGCCGTGCAATGGTTGCGCGTCCGTGCCAAGTGGAAGAAAACACAGTTAGACGATGCAAAGCGCAGCCTGGCCGAGCCCACGGATGAAGCGCAGCAGAAGCGCCCAGAGGTTAAAGCTCAGGGGGGTCTGCAGTTGCCAATCCATATGTGGTGCATGGCATAGTTTGCGCACGCGTCCAGTCGAACGTGGAGAGCTAGCATATGTGGCGCGCGAAGTTCCAGCGTTTGCAGCGACGCAGAAATCGTCGTCATCATCGTCGTCGTCATCATCGCCATACTTGCAATACATGGGCATCCTCGAACCCCTCTCATCGCCACGGCAGGTGATCGCTCATCTGTTCCGTGGGAATAGTTCCCGCCGCCCTGACGGGGGCATGTTAGCACGTGGTCTTAGCTGCGCCTGGGGTAGCCATCAATTGAGTGCGACGCCAATTGTATAATGTTGGCGGCTCGAACGCTTGTGTTGAATCTATCTCACCTAGACGTTTGTAGTCACATTTCCGATCCAAGACGTGTCGCTGTGCGTTTCAGAGGCGCCGTATGTTAGTAGACGGCGTGCCAGGTACTGTGGCTCGCCCATCTAGTTTCGAGCCGTATCTACTCGTATGGCGTTGTTGCAAACCACGCGTGCGAATTGAGCAGATTGCGAAGCAAGTCTTAGGATCCACGCCTCTCACAGGCTCCTTGGAACCATTGTGGTTGACATGTCGGTTTTTACTTACTATCCTGATTTCGAAAAGGTTGGCTGGCACGGGCCGACCTCTTCGATTTTGAAGGCGGTGGTCGATCAGTGCCGGCCAACCCTTTCGACATCGAAAAGGTTGGTTGGTTGGTGTCGGCCAACCTTGTTGAAATCGAAAACGTGGTCGATTTGGGATCCCTGGTGGTGTGCACCAAAACGCGTTTACAATGAGTGATATCATCAGTGTCATGCATGCGGTCTGTGTGTCGTGTGTCGTGCATACGTGCACCGTGAGATACTGTTGAGCGTGGTCAGTACACCATAGTTATCGCATTTCCGTAGCCATTTTGGCTCATGCAGTTTGCGGCGATTGGTGATGCGCGCTTCGGCCGCGCCCTCGCACGAAGCCATCCGCGGCGAAGATCACCGCTGAGATCATTGGCAGTGGCGAGCTCATTGCTGCGCAGCAGAGGCTTCATGCGCCTGCAGATCGCACTGGGGAGCTCAAGGTTTCTCTGGCGAGCTCGCTGTGTGAGATGATCAAGCATCTGGCTGGACCGCTCTACAGCGAGTCAGCGACTGCGCTGTTTGAGCGCGTCAGCGAGACGCACTTCGACACGAACCAGCAGCTGAAGATCTCGGGGGCCGTCGAAGAGGCGTTCTTGCCCTCGCGAACGGCGCCCAAACTTGCGCCCGCGGAGCAGCCGACGCGGCAGAAGAAGTCACATGCAGCGCTGGAGTTTTTCACCAAGTCCGACTGGGAAGTCTTTGGCAGGCCCGACACGCCCTTCAATGCAGTTGAGAAGGTGTCGGGTCTCTCGTGGAGGTATCTGCAATCCTTGACCTCCTGTGTGCGCAGACGTCATTGCGATGCTTGCCGCTGCTGTGCGCGAGCGGCCAGTTGACGAGGTGCTTCTCTACAGGGCAGGTCACAAGTCGATGCGATCGTTTGACGGCGTCGAGTTCGACCCTGGCATCGCAGGGCTGCCCGTCATCAATCATTGGCCTGACTCGCCGAACGCCTTGCCGGCCGCTGCGAAGAGCGCCGTGCGCCCCGACCCGACTGACCAGGCCGCCGACATTCATTTGCCAGCGTTTGCGTCTGTTCGCAAGGCCACCAGTTGCAGGGGCACGGATGAGAGCATTCGCGAGAATATCAAGGCAGCACCCACGCCGAGGCAAGCTCTTGCGAGCATTACTTCGCCCACGAAGCACATTGGCGGGCATGCGTCATCCAACGTCGCCGCCAACGTGGGCGCATTTTTGCAGTCTGCACAGGCGCTCGGTCTGGGCCCAGCGCAGATCGCCATGATGGGCGCCCATCTATGTTCGGCTGGCGGTGCGCCACGTACGTCATCTTCTCACGTCGGCCTCAAGTTCTTTTTCGTCTGCAGGGTGTGGTGGGCCTGCTGGCGGCGCTGGCGCCCCAGACGGCACTGTTGATGGTTGTGTTTCAGTGGGGGTGGCGCCTGCGAGGCGCGACGCGCCTGTTCTGACGCTCTCGCTTCCGACCGGTGATTCTCGCGCAGCTGCAGATGGGCATTGCAAGTCCCCGCCGCCTGCGACGCCGCTTCCCTCTGCCGCAGCATCTGTCGATGCTGCGCTGGACTCCCTCGACGTCGTGGGAGCTCCGGGTCGCCGACCTGTAGAGAATGCTGATAGCGACGCTAAGGCGCAGGCCCTGCAGATGGGGCAGGAGCGCAAGGCGTCGCCGGCAAAGGCCAAGGCGAAAGCGGCAGCAGCTAAGGAACTTGCGGATGGCACGGCCGCGGCTTCCGAGGACACCGGCAAGAAAGGCCAGTTGCAGCCGACGACGAAGGGGCCGCCCAAGAGGCCTGCTGCTTGCAAGCCCTCGAAGCGCTGGTCTGTCATCGCGCCGAAGATGCCCGAGGCGGTCGAGGGTGGCGCCATCTACTAGGGCGGTGAGATCTCGCGTGCGCCGTCAAGGAACGGATGGCGAGCGCGGCCTAACAGCGCGTCAGTTACGATCGAGAAGGACGTAGTCTTTGTTGGCGACAAGCGAGTATCCCAAAAAGCGGCGCTGTCCCTGATCGATGCCCGCTGGCGCTCGACGGCGGCATGACCGCCGACGCTGCGCCTGCAGGCAGCGCCGTGAGCACTCTGTTTTTCCCGGAAAGGGCTTTGGCCCAGGGTTCTCTTTTAGTATGTAAACATGTCCGGGGTGCCCAACTTGAAGGAGGCCGGCGGATTCTTTCCCTGATAAGTATCAAGGTCGAAGGAGGCCGGCGGATTAAAATTTGAGGATGTCTCAGGCGAAACGCTTGTTTTTGAAATCCCGATCGATAAATCACAGGGTGCGGGACACCTCAGCACGACCACACCCCCAGCATGACCACGCCCCAGCACGACCGCGCCCAGCACACACCCAGCACGACCACGCCCCAGCACGACCACACCCCAGCACGACCACACCCCAGCACGACCACACCCCAGCACGACCACACCCCAGCACGACCCCACCCCAGCACGACCACACCCCAGCACGACCGACCCCAGCACGACCCCCAGCACGACCACACCCCAGCACGACCACCACCCCAGCACGACCACGCCCCAGCACGACCACGCCCCAGCACGACCACGCCCCAGCACGACCACAGCACGACCACACCCCAGCACGACCACCCCAGCACGACCACACCCCAGCACGACCACACCCCAGCACGACCCCACGACCACACCCCAGCACGACCACACCCAGCGACCCCACCCCCACACCCCAGCAAGACCACACCCCAGCACGACCACACCCCAGCACGACCTCACCACAGCACGACCACACCCCAGCACGACCACGCCCCAGCACGACCACGCCCCAGCACGACCACCCCCCAGCACGACCACCCCCCCAGCACGACCACCCCCCAGCACGACCACCCCCCAGCACGACCACACCCCAGCACGACCACTCCCCAGCACGACCACACCGCCTTGGTTGAGTGGTTGCCTGTCGTCGTGGAATGTTTCGTGGGGTGTCTCGTGGAATGTTTCGCGGGGTGTCTCGTGGAATGTTTCGTGAGGTGTCTCGTGGAATGTTTCGTGAAGTGTCTCGTGGGATGTTTCGTGAAGTGTCTCGTGGGATGTTTCGTGAGGTGTTGCCCAGTTGGGTATCGTGAAAACGTGTCCATGCTCCACATGTCTATATCCCTTTCCGGGTTCGTGGGTCCATCATGTTTTCATCCACGGTAAAAAATGGCTGAATATCCCGAACGTACACCGCGTCGGTCTGTCATGCCGCAGTGGGGGCACCCCAAAGGAATAATGCCTGCAGTTTATTCGCGGATGCCCATATTTACCCGGAGATTGGTGGATCCAATCCGGCCTGCGAATAGAGTCCGAAGTGTTGATTATGGATAGCCTCAGGAGTCTACTTCGCGACAACACGCCGATTCGGCGCTGTGCCAGCGACTTTATTACGGCGTCGGGCCGCGACGTCAGGACTCAGGGCCCCGCCAAGCCACATTGTTCAGCTCATCGGCATCAGGCCTAGCAATGTCAAGTGCATGCGCGATCGAGTTAGACAGTTGTGGCCCAATCCTCTGTGCATCGAAGACAGCCAGCAGGGCAACCTGCGTGCAACGACTAATGACCCGTGGAGTTGCTATGAGTGTCACCCCGATGCGTCAACGTTGAGAGGATTGATGGCACCGCAGACCCCCTGCAACCTCAAGGCCCCTGCGTCGACACTTATACAAAAGGTAGAACATGCCCCTATGTTCATGATGCAAGAGACATACCATGCAGGGGCACTTGCGGGAGGCTCGGGTGGGTCATGGATCAGAGCCCAGAGTGCTGATCTGTCGGGTGTGACATTCCACGGGATCACGCCGATGACGGACTGCATGCGAACGACCCATGGCGCGCCCAGGCGCAGCAGATGCTTGCGCCTGCCGTGCAACCTGCATCGTTCGCACCCATGATCAGGGCTGCGACCCCATTTGGAACCCCACAAAGCGCTGGGAGCACAAACGGTCTGCAGGCTACGCTCTAAAGTATCAGAATGGATCCTCAGCTCCACCGAGCCTTGCAAGCGACATCGCCATTCGCATCTCCACGTGCTCCTGCAGGGCAACATGCCACTACCGACCATGAGTCTGCCCAGAGGGCCGAGAGCCTCTTGGGGCAACAGCAGTGGATGCATAGGCCGATGCGTGAGGCTATGCAGAGCATGCGGCGGGATGGTATCGACCTCCCTAGCGCGAACTGGACGCCTCCTTGGGAATGCGCCCCAACATCCGAATCCCTCACCTGTTCACCCCAAGCGATATCGGTACGTTCCAGCATTCTTTCAGCCACCCGACACGCGGCCCAACGGCTGCTGGAAGGCCAACGGTTCTACCCATGGATGCCTCTTATGTTCCCTGACTGCTACGCTCAGGAGATTGGCACCCCACGGATGGGCATTCAGCCCGAGAGCCCGTACGTTCGGCCAACGGTTGATGATTTCTACCGGTCCCAGCTGACGCTCGGCGCTGGGCATGAACCTGGTGTACCAGGCCAAGTACCTCACGGCGGATGCCCGGCGGCCCCCGTGGACCAAGAGGTTACGCACCATGGCCCTGAGCTAGTGGTACCATCGTCTATGGGGGAGCTGCTTCCTGAGATCCTGGCCACCCATGAGGCGCAGCTCCCAATCTTTCAACGCAACTGACTCGCCAACGCCGCGATCGGGAGCGACAGCTGCGCCGCGTGATGAATCGTGCGGGGATACCTGCTGGTCCTGCACCTGCGAGGCAACCCGCTATGCGTTTAGCAGCATTGGCAGCCATGGGATCACTTCCGCGGCGCAGCAAATGACACCTGCAGTCTCACCGATTCAGTATGAGATTGGCGAGTTCACGCTTGAGCGACAGACGCGTATCAGGCCATCAGCAACGCCACCAATCATCAGCGATGGTGGTTTTACCAAATGTGCCATATGTCTGGGCGACTTCGTATACCACGACAAGGTATGGAGGCTTCAGTGTGGCCACACATTTCATGCGCAATGCTGGGATCGAGTGGCTCACGCACATGTGGACCAGCAGCTGGCAGGCGCGCTGGGGGGTGCCGCAAGTGAGGCACCATGTGCCATTTGCAGGGGTGTAGGCCTCGCCGCAGATGAGTTTCACGATGCCCTTGCCGGAGATTACAACGCAACGGATCGACATGTAGAAATACTCCGCGGGGCAGATGAGCTCAGAGATCCCCGTGAAGAGCTGAGCCGCATCACGGCGACGATGACAGGCGTTGCGGTTGCTGCGTGGTCGCCGGCCACATCTGCAGGGCAACCTGCTTTATCCTCTAATGTGGGGAAGGCTCCAACAGCCGCAGCCCCAGCCACCGATGCGCCTGTGCCTCTGGTAGCCGAATCAGCAGATACAGCAGGGGGACCTCCCGCAGCAGCACCAACAGGGCTGCCTGCCGATGATCAGTGGCTGGGGCGTATGGAAAGGGCCACTGGAAGGAGCTCGCAATGGCTCCAAGCACCATGCGGCAGCATGCCCTATGGCCGCCCGCTACGCCAGCGCAGATCCGATAGACCAGTGGGCGCGCGCAGCGGCACCAGTGCCATATCTGAGCGTGATATGCTGCATGCGGTGCCGATGGCCCACGCGGATGGGCAGATTGCAGTGCGTGCTGACGACGGCAGTTTTGAGAGAGCGCCCATATTTCCACAGCACCCCCACATGTACGATGGGTACCCATCTGCCTGGACCTCTCAGAAGCAGCCCATCACAGAAGAGGAGGCCAGGCTGTGCATGAACGTCTTGACGTCCTTGACGAAAGACCAGTGGGTGCTGGGCCCGAGGATCAACGCTGCCCGACGTGCCAGTGACACTCGGAGAACGACATGAGCTAGCCCTGGCAGCGAACAGAGGGACCACGGTAGATGGTATGCTGACTATCCTAGTGGACATCGGCTCCCACGGGCACGACATTAAGAAGCTGAACCTGACGACGAGGTTTTACGCGTCTGGTGCGGGGCATGGAGCCGCCACCTGCGACAAGTCACTGCAGTGCAGGATTGCATGCGAGGAGAGAGGCGATTCTGCGGGGAAGCCCGCCTTGGCCAGGCTGGACACATATTCAGCCAATGTGGCAGAAGGCTCCGTTGAGAACCTTCCTTCTATCCTGGGTTTAAGGAGCATGTCCAACATGCGTGTAATCCTGATCCTTGAGCAGGGGCGCGAGAAGACGATCGTCCCAGGCTCAGAGATGCACAGACTCCTCCTTGGCAGGGGCGCCAGGGCACTTGACCTGATGAGGACGCCCTCAGGGCACCTGGCGATCAAGGTCGACGAGTATGAGATCGCAACAGAGGCTAGTGGCTCAACGGCGTGTTCTGTCAGTGCCAATCCTCAATGCGAGGATATGCCCATGCTTGTCAAGGAGGTAGCCGACGCAGAGCCGATGGCAGGGCAACCTGCCTCGAGCAGCGCGGGGGCACCCGCTGCTGACGAAGCCCGCGCGTGCATGAGGTCCCAGGACACCAGGGGCACCCGCTCTTCCATCACTGAGGAGTCGTTTTCCTTCGCGATCCAGTCTCTGGTTGACAACCCCCTAAAGGCCTGGTGTCGCAGGAACACGACGCATGGGAATGTCCCTACGCCTGCCGATCAGGTTTTGCCATGCGTATTTTGCAGGCGATGGTCTTTCAGGCCATCAATTAAGAGGGCAGCAAGTGGGCGCCGCCCGATAGCGCAGCAGGGGCACCTGCTGGAGTGAGCGACGTTGCCGAGAAGTTTGATATCTTCGCTTCGAGCAGTGGCTCAACGGCGCATGGCACAGGCGTTTGGACGCCCCCATCGCCTGAAAGTTAGCGACGGGGGCAGGTGCGTGCCGCGGCCACCCGCGCTTGCCCAGACAGGCCGAATACTGAGGTTCTGTCGTCAGGCGCGCGGGCACCTGCATACTTTTCCAAGGGGCGTGCTGTGCGCGCCAGGGGCAGTGGCGGGCCCGGCTGCGTGGCCGCCGCAGTAAATGAACGCTCACCACATCATTATCACCCTCGTTCCCTTGTTACCGGAGATATACGAGCAGCTTGCGCTGAACTCCGAGCCCGAGGATGCA